GGGGGGACATGGCATTGGGTTAGATGTTGGCTTATTTTTGGAGGTGGAGTTGGTTGTAAGGACTACGAAGAATGGAGGTGAAAGGGGGAAATGAGAAACAAGGAAGAAAACCACAAACCCGGCCGTCTCCAAGGTTGCTGAGTGATCCGATCTCCCTCTCCTAGGGATCTCTCTAAAGTTCTCTCCAAGAAATCTCAAATGTTCTCAAAACACAAGTGCAAGAAAATTCTCATAATAATTCATTCATTCATTCATTAATCTGAAAATACAACAACGGGCTATACATATAACCTAGTACAAGAGAAACATGAAAACAAAAGACACAATTGCCCTTCGGGCTTACAAACGACATCAACCACTAAAAGGGTATAACTGGAAAACCAAGACATAACACTGAAATTAAAAAATACATAAATACAAAAATAACTCAAAAGTACAACAACTCGATCATGGCCGTAGATCGACGGCCACGCCTCTGATAAACCTTCCATGTGCTGATGTCCCCATCATTCTCCCGGGGTGGGAGAAAACTCAACTCCGTCGAGTATCTCTGGTGCTCTCGTAGATCTCTAGTGCGTCTGAATCAATCAGCTGCAACTCCTCACGATCTAACCATGTATCCTCTGACTCGGGCTTTCCTTTCCACCTGATCAAATACCTCATTTGTCCTCCTCTTGTGGATATGATCTCATCACTTAGGATTGCCTCCACCTGCTCTTCCATGAGTAATTTGGGAATATTTGGTAGTGGAGGTAGGTTTGGGATCTCACAAGGTGGGTTCACACAATGCTATTTTATTAGTGGATTTGATGGGTTAAAATCAGGACTTTCATATGCCACTAAAATCTTCTATGTTAAAAGAGGGATTTATCTTGAAATCTGCAGGCAGATCTACTATATAGGCATTATAGTTAATTTTCTTAAGTATTTTGAAAGGTCCAGCACTCTTGGCATGTAATTTCTTAATTGTTCCTGGTGGGAACCGTTTCGGATGAATTCGCACCATCACAGAGTCACCAACCTCAAAAGTTTTAAAACGTCGTTTCAAATCTCCATGTAGTTTATATTCACTATTATTCCTTTCAATTTGTTGTGCAATTTCCTTATGAAGCTCATGCAAATGAGATGCAAATGAAGATGCAGACTCAGAAATCCTATACCTAGAACACATGAGCATCAGATCTAACGGCTGTCTAGGTTTGAACCCGTATACAATTTCAGAAGGACTTACACCCATGGTTCGATTAATAGAATTATTGTAAGCAAACTCAGCAGTGGGTAGAATGTAATCCCAATCTCTAATGTGCTCACCAACCAGGGACCGCAACAAATTACCCAGACTCCTATTAACTACCTCGGTCTGACCATCCGTCTATGGGTGAAAGGCAGTGAAAAATTGAAGTTTGGGGCCCATTTTCATCCACAGGGTTTTCCAAAAATAACTCGTGAACTTCACATCCCTATCTGATACAATGGTTTTTGGTAAACCATGTAAACGGACGACCTCATTGAAGTATAACTTCGCAATGTGAGAGGCATCGGATGTTTTGGAACAAGGAAAAAAGTGGGCCATTTTGGAAAACCGGTCAACTACGACACAAATGGCATCGTGCCTACGGAGTGTCTTGGGCAGGCCTAAGATAAAATCCATACTAACATCCTGCCAAGAACAACTGGAGACAGGTAGGGGAGTGTAAAGACCAGTGTTCTGCTTACGCTACTTGGCCAGTTGGCATGTGTGACATCGACTGACTAGCCGACCAACATCTCTCTTCAGGCTGGGTCAAAAGAAACGATACTCCACGGATTCGATAGTCATGTCCCGTCCGAAGTGCCCAGCGAGGCCTCCGGCGTGCAGTTCCCAGACCAAAAATTCCCTAAGGGAGGTGCTCGGGCTACAAAGCCTCTGGACTTTGAAGAGATATTCATCCTCCAATAGGAAATCGTCCATAAGGCACGTGCTGCCCGTGGACAAGAGAGTGTAGATCTCCTTGAAGTCGGAGCATTCCAAATTATTCCTTTTTATTTGGTCAAATCCCACGACTTTTGCTCTCATTTCAGTGGTGGTCATCATACGATGACTAAGAGCATCGGCAGCCTTATTTTCAACTCTCGCTTATGTCTAAGGGTGTACGTGTATTCCTGAAGGAACTCAACCCATCAACCATGGTGTGCATTCAACTTCTTTTGGGAGTTGATATAACGCAGAACTTCATGATCCGAGAAAATGAAGAACTCTTGTGGGAACAAGTAGTGTCGCCAATAACGAAGAGATTGGATCACTGCGTAGAACTTTTTGTCATACGTGGAATAACGCTGTCGAATATCATTTAGTTTTTCACTGAACTAAACTACTGGGTGACCTTCCTAAGAGAGGACTCCTCCAATTCCGACCCCCGAAGCGTCGCAAGTCACTTCGAAGACTTTGGAGAAATCAGGAAGTCGCATCACTAGGGTTTCCACCATCTTTTGTTTGATCTCATCAAAAGCTCGGGTGGCGGCCGGGGTCCAGTGGAAATCACCCTTCTTCAGGCAATCAGTGATAGGAGAAACAATAGTGTTGAAGTTCCATATGAATCTCCTATAGAAGGTGGCTAATCCGTGGAAGCTGCAGACTTCCCGGATATTCTAAGGGATAGACCACTCTACAATGGCCCTTACCTTCTCGGGCTCTACAGAAACCCCTTGGGCTGAAACGATGAAGCCCAGGAGAATGATGTGATCTACTAGGAATGTGCATTTCTTTGGATTGGCATATAATTGCTCCTTCCGTAAGACCTCACAAACTTCCCTCAAGCGGCCTAAGTGCTGACTAATCGAATGACTATAGATAAGAATGTCGTCAAAATAGACGACAACAAACTTTCACATAAAAGGACGCAGCACTTGAGTCATGATTCGCATAAAGGTGCTAAGGGCATTACTAAGTTCAAAAGGCATGACTAAACACTCGTAGAGACCATCCTTGGTATCGAAGGCAGTTTTCCACTCGTCTCCGGGTTTGATCCGGATCTAGTGGTACCCACTTTTGAGATCAATTTTGGAGAATAGTGTGGCACCCGTCATCATATCGAGCATATCATCAAGCTTCGGAATAGGGAATCGATATTTGACGGTGATCTTGTTGATAGCACGGCTATCAACACACATTCTCCAAGATCCGTCCTTCTTCGGGGTGAGAAGGGCCGGCACCGCGCAGGGTCTCAGACTCTCCTTAATGAAACCTCGTTGCAGTAACTCGTCAACCTGCTTCTTAAGTTCAGCATGTTCCGTGGGGTTCATGCAATAGTGTGGCAGGTTCGGGAGGGAGGCTCCAGGGATGAAGTTTATGGCATGTTGAATGTCTCTAAGAGGTGGTAACCTATCTGGAAGATCATCGGGAAAGACATCAGTATACTGCTCTAAGATAGGCTGCACTTCCTGAGGAATGGGCTCGTCAGATTCGGTTGGAATCTTTTTGGAGAGAGAGAGAGGGGGGGCGGGTATGATAGGGGGCCGGTGAGAGGGGATGGGGAGGGATTTGGGGAATTAAATGAGGTTTCTAAAGTTAGGTTTAGGAATTAGGAAAGCTTTTGAAATTATCCAATCTAATTTAAAATTAAATTGAATCTTCTTATGAAACTTTCCTAAAATAAATTAAAGCAAAAAGGAAAGGATTTGGATATCTGAATTTAATTAATTGGGATCCTAAATTGATTCCCAATTAACGGAATTAAAT